AAATGACACTTATTTAATTATCACTATGATGAAATATTTATACTGTGAACATGTATTTTATTTAAATACAAATGTTGTGACCGGGTTGGTACGGTAGATAAAATGAAAAGATAATGCGTTTGATAAATAGTTGCTATTTATTATATTTAAAAATATATTTACACTTATAATTGACTTTACGACTTTAATGGGTTGATACTTAATTAATATAAAAGATTCAGTGAACAAATTAACAAAAGATTCAGCGGGAAGTCGACCAGGTTCGACCCTATGACCTATCTTACTTTTGAACAAGTAGCTGACTACTACTGGCGCGTCGCCTCAAGCGGCGGCGGCCGTAGGCCCAATACATTGAAAAGAGCTGAGCAAGCATCGAATGTTCTAGAAGCACTAAGTGCTTGCCTGGTTAATACTTTATATACAAGACAAAAGGGGCTTCCGTTCCCAAGATTAATATATATACTATTAAATTAGGGTTCCGGAGATTGCCACGAACTGATGATGCCCCGACATTCATTTACTCCGACACTGTAAAAAAATCCTACGAATACATTTACTCCGACAACAATTACTACGAATACCTGGTTATAAAAATTTGGATGTTACTACGACGACGAATACTCCGAATATTGATTGCTCCGAATGAAATTAGCTCCGAATATCGATTATTCGCGAAATCGATTAAAAAATTATCAAATTTCGGAGTAGATGAATATCGTAGCAATATATTATCTGATGGAAAAATATAACCCTTATCACTAATTAATAAATATTAATTAATATAATAAAATAGCGTTATAATTGATTAATGTCTATTAACGAATAATTATTACAATAAAGATCCCCGAAATGTATCCGACTTTTGATAAAATAGGTACATAAAGGTAACATAACTGGTGTGAGCCCTTAAATTTTTTTTTGGAGGGGAAAGAAGAGCGATTCCAATTTTCAGACGTAAAATCTTTTTTACCTCTCCTTAATAGTGCTTATTATAACATTGTAAGCACATTAATATTATAACATTCAATTAGTTTAGTTAAAAAATATAGAGGTACGTTTTTATGATGATAGTATTCGTTATTAAACAGATGCGTTTATAAAGTTATTCGGTATCCTATTCTCTAAAACTGTCATTACAATTAGTTTCATATGAAATCAAACAAAAATATGATTTAATATCATTTCATTGTTCAAAGGTGGGTAACGAAATTAATTCAGTCCAGTTTGGATTTGACCGCAATCTGGAGAGACTTGAGGGGGCTAAAATTCTAAAATAAAAACTAAAATTCTGCCATAGACTATACCGAAAATGAATTAATTTGTATTTCTTGTTGTATAGAAATATTTTTTTAGATTAGGTAAAAAATTATGTAATTAGAGTTCCCAAATATTTTGTTGCAATACTCCTACGCTCTAGTCAAATTAAGTAAACACAAGGCAGTTATAAGTTAA